AAACATTAATTGTTTATTCTTTTATTTTCATCTATAGCATAAACATTAATTGTTTATTCTTTATTTTCATCTATAGCATAAACATTAATTGTTTATTCTTTATTTTCATCTATAGCATAAACATTAATTGTTTATTCTTTATTTTCATCTTTATTTTAATCTATAATTGTTTATTCTTTTATTTTCATCTATAGCATAAACATAATTGTTTATTCTTTATTTTCATCTATAGCATAAACATTAATTGTTTATTCTTTATTTTCATCTATAGCATAAACATTAATTGTTTATTCTTTTTTATTTTCATCTATAGCATAAACATTAATTGTTTTATTTTTTTTTTTTCATCTATAGCATAAAATTAATTGTTTATTTCTTTATTTTCATCTATTATTAATTAATTGTTTATTCTTTATTTTCATCTATAGCATAAAATTAATTGTTTATTCTTTATTTTCATCTATTTTAAATTTTTATTAATTGTTTATTCTTTTTTATATTTAAATCTATTATAAACATTAATTGTTTATTCTTTTATTTTCATCTATAGCATAAACATTAATTGTTTATTCTTTATTTAAACATTGTTTATTCTATATCTATAAATATTAATTGTTTATTCTTTATTTTCATCTATAGCATAAACATTAATTGTTTATTCTTTATTTTCATCTATAGCATAAACATTAATTGTTTATTCTTTTATTTTCATCTATAACATAAACATTAATTGTTTATTCTTTATTTTTATCTATAGCATAAAACATTGTTTATTCTTTATTTTCATCTATAACAAAAACATTAATTGTTTATTCTTTATTTTCATCTATAGCATAAACATTAATTGTTTATTCTTTATTTTCATCTATAGCATAAACATTAATTGTTTATTTTTTTATTTTTCTATAGCATAAACATTAATTGTTTTTCTTTATTTTCATCTATAGCATAAACATTAATTGTTTATTCTTTATTTTCATCTATAGCATAAAACATTAATTGTTTATTCTTTATTTTCATCTATAGCATAAACATTAATTGTTTATTCTTTTATTTTCATCCATAACATAAACATTAATTGTTTATTAAACATTTTTTATTTTCATCTATAGCATAAACATTAATTGTTTATTCTTTATTTTCATCTATAGCATAAACATTAATTGTTTATTCTTTATTTTCATCTATAACATAAACATTATTTGTTTATTCTTTTTTTTTTATTTTCATCTTTATAGCATAAACATTAATTGTTTATTCTTTTTATTTTTATCTATAGCATAAACATTAATTGTTTATTCTTTATTTTTTATTTTCATCTATAGCATAAACATTAATTGTTTATTCTTTATTTTCATCTATAGCATAAACATTAATTGTTTATTATTTTTATTTTTATCTATAGCATAAAATTAATTGTTTATTCTTTATTTTCATCTATAACATAAACATTAATTGTTTATTTTCTTTAATTATAGCATAAACATTTTATTGCCATTGTTTATTTTATTTTTATTGTTTATTCTTTATTTTTTTAGCATAAACATTAATTGTTTATTCTTTATTTTCATCTATAGCATAAACATTAATTGTTTATTCTTTATTTTCATCTATAGCATAAACATTAATTGTTTATTCTTTTATTTTCATCTATAGCATAAACATTGTTTTAATTGTTTATTCTTTATTTTCATCATAAACATTAATTGTTTATTATTTTTCATTTTTTCAACATAAACATTAATTGTTTATTCTTTATTTTCATTCTTTATTTTCATCTATAGCATAAACATTAATTGTTTATTCTTTATTTTCATCTATAGCATAAACATTAATTGTTTATTCTTTATTTTTATCTATAGCATAAACATTAATTGTTTATTCTTTATTTTCATCTATAACATAAACATTAATTGTTTTATTCTTTATTTTCATCTATAGCATAAACATTGTTTATTCTTTTATTTTCATCTATAACATAAACATAAAATTGTTTATTCTTTATTTTTATCTATTTTATCATTGTTTTTATTCTTTATAGCATAAACATTAATTGTTTATTCTTTATTTTTTTTCATCTATAACATAAACATTAATTGTTTATTCTTTATTTTTTATTTTCATCTATCTATATCATAAACATTAATTGTTTATTCTTTATTTTTATCTATAGCATAAACATTAATTGTTTATTCTTTATTTTCATCTATAGCATAAACATTAATTGTTTATTCTTGACTTTACAGCTTCGATAAAATAGTCTTTGAACAAATTGCAATTCGAGACATTTTACGTCATCTGTGGAAAAAAGAACTGAGTACAATGACAGCAGTGTATGATATTAATGATGTGGAAAGCCTAGGAACTGTCAACAAATGCGTGGCGTAAAACTTTTTCAGACGTCATAAGGAAGGTGACACTAGCCTCAAAGTCAAAATAAGGTCATAGAGACAATCTGTCGGAAAAGAGGAAGTTGAACTTGAACAACAGAACAACACACTCATATATTGTTTGCAGAACTTGGTTCTTCATAAAACAGCATCAATCGTCAATTCCATAAACTAAACATAACAAATAATACGAAAATCACACCCGAAAAGAAAGATGCCCCGCATCCACCAGACAACTGACATCCCGAGCCAGTAATGGGAAGAGGGTTTCGCAACTTAGAAGTGCGAGAAAAAAAACTATTAGATAATAATTTCTAGCTAGCTTACCAGTAAAACGGTGAGACCTAATTGCCAATCTAGTAATACATTTGAAGTCGTGATGCCAGATTTGATTTGGTTTGGCTTGTTTTAAGGCATATCAGGAGAGATGATGGGAAACTAAACTAAAGAAATATAGGGACAGAAATAAAAGAGGCCAAATACCAAAGTGGAGAGCGCATCAGAGCAATAACCAGGAACTCATTTATAGAAAAGACACAGGGAAGCTATGTTTACGGTGAAGAAAAAAGGGCTGAAGCCGAGATGCCAGGTCAGGATCGATGTCATGCCAGACACTTTTCTTGTCAGAATCCGTCTGGCACATTTATAAATCTGCGATTCGTCTTCGCCAGTGCATTAAATATTGCTGTTATATCTGGTCTGGTGATCCGGCTATATATCTTGAGATTCTCGACAAAATCCCAAGAAATGTCTGTAATGTCATCGATCCTGACCTGGCACATCACATCCCGTGTGTGACGTCTTCCCCCGGTCGCAGCGCCGACTGTGTCGTTCTATCCTGATCTACCACGGCGCCAGCTGTGACGTCCCTAAACAGCACCAATTGTGACGTCTTCGCCGCCGCGCCAGCTGTTCGCTCCTCGCTGCTCCGTCCGGGTGTCGCTGCTCCAAGCGTGACGTTCTAACCCTTTTGTGATTCGGGTAGGAATCCGGTTAGATTTTATATCAGCCCCGCCGTTCCCAACCTGCTTCCAACGCCTGGTTACCAGGGTAACTGCACTGATCTCCAGTCTGCCTACCCACGTTGTGAATTGATCTTAGACAGACGAGATCAAACAGGGGTTGGGGCCGTAATGCAAGCTGATTTCAACGGGGGTGATAACACACAAATATGGATAAAATAAAATAAAATGAGAACTCACAAAGTCCAAAGTATCAAAGAAAAACGTAACAAACTTTTATGTCTATTTGTTCGGTACATAGGACTATGTCTACTTCCCGACCCGTTCTGTGGATTGTGGCACGGCGCTTTCGCTAGGCAAACTTTAAGGCTTCAAGATGTCTGCTCTCTAAGAAATTTGTGTTTCGGTGTGTCTTTGGACGAAAGTCGGAAAAACTTATTTCTGTGGTCTGGTTCTAAGTCGCTCTTCAAACTACTTGTTCTTGGTTGAAGAAGAGTCCAAAAGTGTGCGTGAATCTTGGTCAGCTATCTTGACGCGGTTTCAACACTGGGCGCTCATCTCTGCTTGTCGTCCAAAGCTCAAAACTTCTCGCCAGGGTCCGCGGCTGAACTCAAACTTCTTCTCTCCAACTTGGGTCGAACGAACTTCTTCTCTCAGGCCAAACGAACTTCTTCTCTCAGGCCAAACGAAAATGGACAATATTCAGTTCAGATTCCCAACGGATTGTCCATAATATCTACATCCGCGTTTCTCAACCAGGGTTCCTCGGAACCCTAAGCTTCCGCAAAATGTCCCCAAGGGTCCCGCGAGAACAGGTGAGATAAGCTAATGCACTTTAGACTTTTTATTTAATTTTATAAACGAAATATTACTAAACACACCCAATATATTCTTGGTTATTGTAATATAGACATGTGTGAATATGTTATACCTGGCGTACCTATTCTATTATTAATAGACTCTCCCTCACATAAGTAGTAGTAGTAGTAGTAGCGGTCGACAGTTGGGCTCAGTTGTGTTGAGTGAGTCAGTCGATATCGGACATTGAAGTATCAACCATCACAACTAGAATTGCTGCGTCATTAACTCTTATTGCAAGTTCCTAACGTTTTGTACGTCGGACTCTTTTAGGACAGACTTAGTGAAATACAAGCCTCCACTGTGAAAAACTACTCTACAACAGAATGAAAATTCTCTGATGAAGTATTATAAACGAACAGTATGAATTTTATTTAGCAGTACCGAAAAATTTAACAAAGAAGTATTAATTTTTTCTTAAACCAGTTATCCAAAATTATATACTATGATATTTACCACGTGAACTACGATAAAAATAAAATAAGAAAGATATGGTATATAATTTTATTTTTGTGCAGGGGTTCTTCGAGACATGTAATTTATTGTAAGGTTTGCGCAGGTGCAAAAAGGTTGAGAAACGCTGATCTACATAGACAATGGAAACACCAGACCAGATGTGGCAACAATATTTAAGATACGAGGCAGACTCTGATGAGAAAGATTAATGAATATAAAACGTGATAAAGAAATATCTGGACTGGAACAGGAAGAATTGCAGTAATGACTGGCACTGACGTGGATAATGGATCCAACAAGTAGCAATCAAAGAAGGAAACGATAAAGTAATGTTTTAGACGACTAAGAGTGAAATCTCACCCCCCCCACCACAAGAGAAATGATGGTTACTCGTGCATATTAAGCCTTTGAAACATGAACGCCCGATGAGTACTGTATATGCACTTTCACACAGCGTGTTCAAAGGGTTAAAGAAAAAAAACACAAACAAACAAAAAACACAAAAAAGAAAGAAAAAACACAAAGAAAGAAAGAAAAACAAACATAGAAAGAAAAAGAAAGAAAGAAAAAAAACAAAGAAAAAAGAAAGAAAGAAAGAAAGAAAGAACGAATGAAAGAAAGATGGAGCCACGTATAAACACAAAGAAAGAAACATGGTGCCATGTATAAACAGAGTCAAATAAATAAATAAATAAAGAAAGAAACATGCGACCACGTTTAAACAGAGCATAAGAAAGAAAGAAAGTAAGAAAGAAAGATGGAGGCACGTATAAACACAAAGGAAGGAAAGAAACATGGTGCCACGTATAAACAGACCATAAGAAAGAAAGAAAGACAGAAAGAAAGGAAGGAAGAAAGAAAACACGAAGAAAGAAACATGGTGCCACGTATAAACAGAGTATAAGAAAGTAAGAAAGAAATAAAGGAAGACAGAAAGAAAGAAAAAAAGGAAGAAAGGAAGAAAGAAAAGGAAGAAAGAAAGGAAGATGGAGGCACATATAAACACAAAGAAAGAAAGAAACATGGGGCCACGTATAAACAGAGTCAAAGGAAGAAAGATGGACCCACGTATTGTAGTTATCAGGGTAGCAAGAAATCGGAAGGGAGTTACGCAGGCGAGAAAAGAATCTATCGGAATAGAAGAAACGGTAGCATCTAGTTAGTTCCACAGTAAAACTATGAGACCTAATTGCCAATCTAGTATCACGCTTAACTTCATGCAGCCGAAACACCAATGGAGAAAAAACATCAGAACAAATTTCCATGAAAATATTTGTAAAAAAAACACAGAAGGAAGCCACGTCACTTCGGTGAGAAAGTGACTGAACTCGAGATGCCAGGTCAGGACGAATAAAATCTACCTGCTTGACACTATTTTCTGTCTTAAAAGATTCAGTAAGTATGTTGTCTATATTTAAACGGCCTCCGTTAAATCATTAAAAAACAAAAAAACAAAAAAAAAAAACTAGCCTAAATTCAAATCAGACTTTTGAGGCGTCATTTTTCTTTCATTTGCCAGGCAGTAAAAATAATATCCATTGTTCCCCTGTTTCATCTAAAACCTTACTTGTGACTCTGGAAGGATATATAGTAACTATGGAAAAAATGTGTTGTAGAGTAGTTTTTCACAGTGGAGGCTTGTACTTCACTAAGTCGGTCCTAAAAGGTTACGACGTACAAAACGTTAGGAACTTGCAATAAGAGTTAATGACGCAGCAATCTAGTTGTGATGGTTGATACTTCAATGTCCGACATCGACTGACTCACTCAACACTACTGAGCCCAACTGTCGACCCCTACGACTACTACTACTTATTATGTCTGGGAGAGTCTATTAATAATAGAATAGGTACGTCAGGTATAACGAAATGAAAGGAGCGATTTTTGGAATTTTCATTGGAATAAAAATGCTAGAAAGAATGACACTTTACGTACAGTGCGTATAGAAAGTGCTTTAATCGCCAGATCATCTACAGTTAATGTACATCCAATTACAGTATATCACATTTCATTTTCAGTGTGGAACTTTTAATAACAGGAGCGATGGGGACATAATCAAAAGGAAAAGAAATCAAATGAAATTGTTTGACTATACTTGCTTGAGTCAAAGGCTTTTTGGTATTTCAAGCCTTAAATAATAGTTCAAACAAAATTTGCAAAAGCAAATAATCCATTAGTCTTAACATAATAACAACAATCTTCAGGCGTTAAGTTTATACTGACTGTTATTTAATTTTCGTTTGGCATGAAATTCTGAGTAGTGCGAACAGTGTGGGATAGGTATATTTCATAATATATATATATATATATATATATATATATATATATATATATATATATATATATGCATGTTTCATTAAAAACGACAGACAAGGTACTACTGTTAAGTTTTTTTTTTAATATAATTTTTCTTCTGTCCGAAGAAGATCTTTTCTGGACAAAGGGTGTGTAAGAACTGTCCAATTGTTTTATATTTCCGAGCGCTTTCGGCTATACCTTTAGCCATTATCAAGGATGATTTGATTTTTCAGCTTAATTGAGTGTGTGCATTCTGTGTATGTCTTAGTGTGTGGTAGGGATGTTTATAATTTCTGAATATGGTTAGCACATTGTGGCTTTGTTCGTAGTTAATATTGTTAAGAGTTGGATTTTTCTTTTTTATTATTAAAGCTTCCATTATTTGTAGTCTTTTTTGCAGGTGGATGCAGTTAATATGTTTGTGTTTTCTACTAGTATGTTTCTAATGGAGTCTGTTAAATTTGTGTGTGTTTAAATGAGTTCTAATGGAGCTGTGATCAGATAGGTGTAACGTAAGACGTCTGGATAAGCATGTGGTTGTGTAACCGATGTAATTATTTATGAATCCGGTTTGATCAGGAACACAGTTCCTTAAGGGGCATTTGAGCTCATAGATAATGTTCGTTCTTTGTAATTTTGACTTAGCTAGTTCTTACACAGCCATTGTCCAGAAAAGAAAGCTCTTGTTCGGACACAAGAAAAATTAAATAAAAAGCTTAACCGTAGTACCTTGGCTGTCGTTTTTAATGAAACATGCATAAAGGAAGGATTGCTGTCTAAATATACAATTATATAAGATAATAGGAAAACGGTAATGGTAGCCGAAAGGATTCTTCCAATGTGGACTTTTTCAAGTCAAAAACGAAATGAATTTATTAAACAAAGTAACTAATAATAACAAAACAAAATGTCCTTAGCAACTTCACGAATTTAGAAAACGCTATTTTCATACTGTTAACTGAAAATTACGTTAATTACTGTCACGTGTGGAGATATTGTTATTATTGCTGTGTTGACGGATTCAACTATTTTCTTTTGATTTCACGATAATGTTGTGTACGTTTGTTTAGGAGAGAAGTAATTCTGTTAAGAAAGGTGAAATAGGAAAAAAGCCTGGGCGTAGATTAATAATTGGGTAATATTCAATGGCAGCACTCTCTAGGATTTTCCTTCTGAGTGAGTTATTTTCTTTTTTTTATGAGTGTAGCATTTTTAAAATCATTTGTCGTTGAATTTATTTGCATGTATGACTAGTGCATTAACTAAGTTGCTTTTTGAGAGGTCTGTTTCGTGCTCATAAATGCGATTTTTTAAATTTCTACTCCCAACTATTAATCTATGCCCAGGTTTTTTCCCTATTTCACCTTCCTTAACAGAATTACTACTCTCCCAAACAAACAGTATCAAGAAACCAAAATAAAATGATTGAAATCCGTCAACACACAATCAGTATGAAAATAGCGTTCTTTAAATTCTTTCAGCTGCTAAGGACATTTTGTTTTGTTATTATTAGTTACTTTGTTTTAATAAATTCATTTCGACTTTTCCTTGAAAAAAGTCCACATTGGACGAAACGCGTCGGCTATCATTACAGTTTTCCTATTGTTTTTTACATTTATAAATTGTTATGGTGTAGAACCATAGAAAGATAAGACGGACTCGGATATAAGGTTAAATAGTATATTCTCGGAAACGTAGTACAAAGGTAAATGTGGACTGGAGAGTACTTTCTCTCACTGGTGGACGCACGGACGGACGCACGCACGCACGCACTCACTCACTCACTCACTCACTCACTCACTCTGTCACTCGGTCGGTCGGCCGGCGACTCTTACTCGGTGACTCCCCTTACTCAGAGTTGATAGCCATATTATACAGGTGTGGAAGAGTCCATTTGTAGGTAGGTCCCCACAATACCCCCCTCCCAAGCCTTTTACTCGGTAAAACGGTTTATTACTTCCCAGAAATTTAATACCTTTTCTTTTTGGGGTTGATTGTTAAAGGCTCGCTAAATTTCCTCTTTCTCTCCGACCTTCGTTGTTCAGGCGTTGGTTGCGGGGGGGTGTGCTAGGGGTCAAACGTGTCGGAAATGATCTCCATGGGTTCTTCCACTTCATCCTGTGTGCTGTTAGAATCTATTTTATGCCGTTTTTTTAATTTGATTAATATGTCTTTTGTGGGTATGTCTTGGTCCTTGTATTATATACACCATCTCGCCGATAACGTCTAGTGATCGTGCCCTCCTCCCAGTATGGCATATTCTTCTGAAAACTTTTAAAAAAGATTTTCTGACCTGGAAGAAATTGTTTTTTGGTCCTTTTTCGGTCTTACATATTTTTGACTGTTTGGGAATTAATTTGTCAAAAACGCATCTCACCTTTCCGGCAAACATGATTTCTGCCGGTGAGCCAGTTGATGGTGTATTCGAGTTCAGCGTAATGCGATAAACTTGCAGAAACTGCTGTAATGCTATGTCGGTAGGAGTTCTTTGAGCTTTTTTTTTTTAATTAAATACCTCCCCCGGTGTGGGGAGAGGGTAATGGTAATCTTTTAGAGCCGCATTGAGGCCCGTTGAGAAATCCGCACAGACGCGAATTTGGTTGGACTTTTTCCTTACGTATACAGCGGGGGCAGCCCATTCGCTAAAACTCACTTTGGACAGTATACAGGCATTTTCTAGTCGGTCTAATTCTTCGTTAATTTTTTCTACTGATGCAAATGGGATATTTTTTTAATTTGAAAACGGGTTGAACGTTTTCTTTCAGCTCGAATCTGGCTTTTGTCTTATTACATTTTCCTAGCCCCATCGAGAAAACTTCGGGAATTTTTTTTTTAATTCGTCTTTCAGGTCTTGGGCATCCGTTGTCATATTTTCCACATTTTGGCAAAAATTGTTGATTGGTTGATCCCGCAACTTAAACATCTCCATCTAATCCGTTCCTAATAAATTCTCAGAGATTTTATGGACGAAAACTTAGTTTCTTTGTGATGCCATTTAGTGTTACAGGTAGCGTTAGCTCACCTTCAAATTTGATTTTGTCACCTGTTACTGCACGGGCTGGTTTGTTTGCCTTTTTCATCGTTTGTTTTTTTAAATTTCCTCCAAGTATGAAGATTAATGATTGAGAGATCCGAGCCAGAATTTAGCTGCAGCTTAACTGTTTTGTTTAGAATGTGAACTACAACGTATTTTCGTAGGTTCTGATCTACTATTTCATTTGATATAGTTTGTCTGACTCTGTTTCTGTTGTTCCTTTTGTTTCTACAGTGCGACCGCTGGTGGCCAATTTTGCCACAATTATTACCTGTCTTGTTTCGGTAAAAACAGTCTGCCGCCCAATGTTGTCCCCGACAACGTTCGCATGGCCTTGGAAGTAATTTTTGTTTCTCACAGGGTCGTCTAATTTTAGATTGTGAATGGGCATACTTTTTGCATTCTTTACCTTTTCTAGAGTAGTAATATTTTGGCTTGTACTTAATTCTCCTAACATACGATATGCCTGATTCCTCGATGTTTTTGGAATCACTTTTAACACACACAACTCGCTGACAATCTTCAGTTAGTTTTTGTAATGTGAGACCTGGTAGGTTTCTCGTCTTGATAGAACTCTCCGTCTAAACTCCCAATTTTTGCGGAGACTAAATCTTGTGCAAATATTAAACATTTGAAATCGTCAGCTGACAATTCTGCTAACCGAAAATCGTCCCAGTGCTTATTTACAATGGACGCAAATGTAAGATAATCCTCGTCATTCCGTTTTGACAAGTTAAAACACTTCCATCTTTTGTGAAAAAGGGTTGTATTAGGGCTAAATAACTCAGGCAAAAGTTTTACTGCTTCATCGAACCCCAATTCATTTGTTTTCTTCGGAAGAATGTTATTAACGACCTTACAATGTTCCGCTGTTCCCAACTTTCTCAAAAGTAGGCGAACTTTTTTAGCGTTCGGCAAATCCTCACAGTCAACCGCAAAATAATCTTCATATCATTTAAAGAAAGCTTCAAATGTTTTATCTTCTTCAGGAATATAATTGAATGTTTCCATAGAATTCCAAATTGTGTTGTGAGAAAATGCAGTGTTGTTTTCTCTAACATCATTTTTACTTTATGTTTTTAGAAGAAATACTTCTTGTTGTTTTAGAATTAAAAAAAACAAACAAAAAAAACCGTTGTTGTTCCCTCTGCTGTAGAAGCAATTTTTCTTCTTGCTCTTTTTGATGTAGGAGCAATTTTTTTCCTGTTCTTTTTGTTGTAGGAGCAAATTTTCTTTCTTTTTCTTTTTGTTGTAGGAGTAATTTTTCTTCCTGTTTTTTCTGGTGTAGGAGCAATTTTTCTTCCCGTACTTTTTGCTTTTCTTCCTGTTTTTTTGTTGTAGGAGCAATTTTTCTTCCTGTTCTTTCTGTCGTAGGAGCAATTTTTCTTCCTGTACTTTTTGCTTTTCTTCCTGTTCTTTTTTTGTAGGAGCAATTTTTCTTCCCGTTCGTTTTGTATGAGCGGTATTTCTTCCTGCTCTGTTTATTTAGAAGTAAGTTTTCTTCCTGTCCTTTTTTTGTAGGAGTAATTTTTCTTCGTGTTCTTTTTTGTAGGAGAAATTTTCATTCCTGTTCTTTTTTTGTAGGAGTAATTTTTCTTCCTGTTCCTTTTTGTAGGAGTAATTTTTCTTCCAATTCTTTTTTTGTAGGAGTAATTTTTCTTCCTGTTTTTTTTTTGTTGTAGGAGCCATTATTCTTCCTGTACTTTATGCTTTTCTTTCTGATTTTTGCTGTAGGATCAATTTTTCTTCCTGCAATTTTTGCTTTTTTTCCTGTTCTTTTTGTTGTAGGAGAAATTTCTCTTCCTTTACTTTTTTTGTAGGAGCAATTTTTCTTCCTGTTCTTTTTGTGTAGGAGCAATTTTTCTTGCTGTTTTTTTTTGTAGGAGCAATTTTTCTTCCTGTTCTGTTTTTGTAGGAGTAAATTTCTTCCTGTTCTTTTTTTGTAGGAGTAATTGTTCTTCCTGTTCTTTTTTGTAGGAGCAATTTTCATTCCTGTTCTTTATTTGTGGGAGCAATTTTTCTACCTGTTCTTTCTGTAATAGGAGCAATTTTTCTTCCTGTACTTTTTGCTTTACTTCCTGTTCTTTTTTTGTAGGAGCAATTTTTCTTCCTGTACTTTTTGCTTTACTTCCTGTTCTTTTTTTGTAGGAGCAATTTTTCTTCCTGTTCTGTTTTTTTAGGAGTAAGTTTTTTCCTGTTTTTTTTTTGTAGGAGCAATTTTCCTCCCTGTTCTTTTTTTGTAGGAGTAATTTTTCTTCCTGTTCTTTTTTTGTAGGAGTAATTTTTCTTCCTGTTTTTTTGTTTGTTGTAGGAGCAATTATTCTTCCTGTTCCTTTTGTTGTAGGAACCATTATTCTTCCTGTACTTTATGCTTTTCTTCCTGATTTTTGTTGTAGGATCAATTTTTCTTCCTGCAATTTTTGCTTTTCTTCCTGTTTTTTTGTTGTAGGAGCAATTTTTCTTCCTGTTCTTTTTGTTGTAGGAGCCATTTTTCTTCCTGTACTTTTTGCTTTTCTTCCTGTTCTTTTTGTTGTAGGAGCAATTTTCTTTTTTTTTCTTTTTGTTGTAGGAGTAATTTTTCTTCCTGTTCTTTTTGTTGTAGGAGCAATTTTTCTTCCTGTTCTTTCTGGTGTAGGAGCAATTTTTCTTCCCGTACTTTTTGCTTTTCTTCCTGTTTTTTTGTTGTAGGAGCAATTTTTCTACCTGTTCTTTCTGTCGTAGGAGCAATTTTTCTTCCTGTACTTTTTGCTTTTCTTCCTGTTCTTTTTTTGTAGGAGCAATTTTTCTTCCCGTTCGTTTTGTATGAGCGGTATTTCTTCCTCTTCTGTTTTTTTAGAAGTAAGTTTTCTTCCTGTCCTTTTTTTGTAGGAGTAATTTTTCTTCCGGTTCATTTTTTCTAGGAGTAATTTTTCTTCCTGTTTTTTTGTAGGAGTAATTTTTCTTCCTGTTCTTTTTTTGTAGGAGTAATTTTTCTTCCTGTTCTTTTTTGTAGGAGCAATTTTCCTCCCTGTTCTTTTTTTGTAGGAGTAATTTTCCTCCCTGTTCTTTTTTTGTAGGAGTAATTTTTCTTCCTGTTCTTTTTTTGTAGGAGTAATTTTTCTTCCTATTTTTTTTGTAGGAGCAATTTTTCTTGCAGTTTTTTTTTGTAGGAGTAATTTTTCTTCTTATACTTTTTTTTTGTAGGAGTAATTTTTCTTCCTATTTTTTTTGTAGGAGCAATTTTTCTTCCTATTTTTTTTTGTAGGAGTAATTTTTCTTCCTATTTTTTTTTGTAGGAGCAATTTTTCTTGCAGTTTTTTTTTTGTAGGAGCAATTTTTCTTCCTGTTCTTTTTGTGTAGGAGCAATTTTTCTTGCTGTTTTTTGTGTAGGAGCAATTTTTCTTCCTGTTCTGTTTTTGTAGGAGTAAATTTCTTCCTGTTCTTTTTTTGTAGGAGTAATTAATCTTCCTGTTCTTTTTTGTAGGAGCAATTTTCATTCCTGTTCTTTATTTGTGGGAGCAATTTTTCTACCTGTTCTTTCTGTCGTAGGAGCAATTTTTCTTCCTGTACTTTTTGCTTTTCTTCCTGTTCTTTTTTTGTAGGAGCAATTTTTCTTCCTGTTCTGTTTTTTAGGAGTAAGTTTTTTTCCTGTTTTTTTTTTGTAGGAGCAGTTTTCCTCCCTGTTCTTTTTTTGTAGGAGTAATTTTTCTTCCTGTTCTTTTTTTGTAGGAGTAATTTTTCTTCCTGTTTTTTTGTTTGTTGTAGGAGCAATTATTCTTCCTTTTCTTTTTCTTGTAGGAGCCATTATTCTTCCTGTACTTTATGCTTTTCTTCCTGATTTTTGTTGTAGGATCAATTTTTCTTCCTGCAATTTTTGCTTTTCTTCCTGTTTTTTTGTTGTAGGAGCAATTTTTCTTCCTGTTCTTTTTGTTGTAGGAGCCATTTTTCTTGCTGTACTTTTTGCTTTTCTTCCTGTTCTTTTTGTTGTAGGAGCAATTTTCTTTTTTTTTCTTTTTGTTGTAGGAGTAATTTTTCTTCCTGTTCTTTTTGTTGTAGGAGCAATTTTTCTTCCTGTTCTTTCTGGTGTAGGAGCAATTTTTCTTCCCGTACTTTTTGCTTTTCTTCCTGTTTTTTTTGTTGTAGGAGCAATTTTTCTACCTGTTCTTTCTGTCGTAGGAGCAATTTTTATCCTGTACTTTTTGCTTTTCTTCCTGTTCTTTTTTTGTAGGAGCAATTTTTCTTCCCGTTCGTTTTGTATGAGCGGTATTTCTTCCTCTTCTGTTTTTTTAGAAGTAAGTTTTCTTCCTGTCTTTTTTTTGTAGGAGTAATTTTTCTTCCGGTTCATTTTTTCTAGGAGTAATTTTTCTTCCTGTTTTTTTGTAGGAGTGATTTTTCTTCTCATACTTTTTTTGTAGGAGTAATTTTTCTTCCTGTTCTTTTTTTGTAGGAGTAATTTTTCTTCCTATTTTTTTTTTGTAGGAGCAATTTTTCTTGCAGTTTTTTTTTGTAGGAGTAATTTTTCTTCCTGTTCTTTTTTTGTAGGAGAAATTTTTCTTCCTGTCCCTTTTTGTAGGAGTAATTTTTCTTCCAATTCTTTTTTTGTAGGAGTAATTTTTCTTCCTGTTTTTTTTTTTGTTGTAGGAGCCATTATTCTTCCTTTACCTTATGCTTTTCTTCCTGATTTTTGTTGTAGTATCAATTTTTCTTCCTGTACTTTTTGCTTTTCTTCCTGTAATTTTGTTGTAGGAGCAATTTTTCTTCCTGTTCTTTTTTTATTGGAGCAATTTTTCTTCCTGTTCTTTTTTTGTAGGAGTAATTTTTCTTCCTGTTCATTTTTTGTAGGAGTAATTTTCCTACCTGTTATTTTTTTTGGAGGAGCCATTTTACTTCCTGTACTTTTTGATTTTCTTCCTGTTCTTTTTGTTATAGGAGCAATTTTTCTTTCTTTTCTTTTTTGTTGTAGGAGTAATTTTTCTTCCTGTTTTTTTTTATTGGAGCAATTTTACTTCCTGTTCTTTTTTGTAGGAGTAATTTTACTTCCTGTTCTTTTTTTGTAGGAGTAATTTTTCTTCCTGTTCATTTTTTGTAGGAGTAATTTTCCTACCTGTTCTTTTTTTGTAGGAGTAATTTTTCTTCCTGTTTTTATTTTGTTGTAGGAGCAATTATACTTCCTGTTCTTTCTGTTGTAGGAGCAATTTTTCTTCCTGTTATTTTTGTTGTAGGAGCAATTTTTCTTCCTGTCATTTTTGTGTTAGGAGCAATTTTTCTTCCTGTTCTTTTTGTTGTAGGAGCCATTTTTCTTCCTGTTCTTTTTTTGTAGGAGTAATTTTTCTTCCTGTTTTTTTTTGCTGTAGGAGCAATTTTTCTTCCTGTTATTTTTGTTGTTGGAGCAATTTTTCTTCCTGTTATTTTCGTTGTAGGAGCAATTTTTCTTCCTGTTATTTTTGTCGTAGGAGCAATTTTTCTTCCTGTTATTTTTGTTGTAGGAGCCATTTTTCTTGTAACATTTGTTGCCGTTCCTTAGTCTTCTTTTGATGATCAAGTTGTGTCTTCATCATCTGAACAAGGTTTGTTTTAAAGTCTTCCATAATAATTTCAAATATGTCTTCTCAGCGGAAAAAAAAAAACGAATTTAAACATTTTTTCTTTCATAAGAAGGGGAAAGAAAATAATTCCTTTCTTTAATATTTCTCAGCTCTGGTTGGTAATAACTGTAAAAAAAACCCTTTTTTTTCCTCTAATCCAGTCTAAGTGCTTCTAGTTTTCTCTAAGAAAAGAAAAAAAAATTGCATAAACAGCCATGCTGCCAACAGAAAATATATTTTTTCCTTTCTACCCTGTGTGGTCAAGAGAAGCAAAGAACAATGCAATGCTTTAGATTATAGCAACGAGGAAGAGAGAAAAAAATCTTTCTTACAATTTTTTACTCGTTAGTATTTTCAAGTTGTTGGTTTTAAATGAATTGAGTTAATATTTCTTTTATACTTTTCCTCCTTCTTAAATATATCCGACGTCCACATCTGTGCCTTTTTCCGTATTTATGTTGCTTGTTATTCGGTTGGCGTCAGTTTTTTTTTTTATCAGTTGTATATTAACATACAATTGTTGTATGTGTAGCTTTCTTTCGTGAACATTTCTCCTTGGTTCGCCAGACTTGAGGTTAACACACTGGGGTCTTTAGAGATCTTTAGAGTTATGGCATGACCTTTATTTGTGTGTGGAATTTTTTCCTTTTAGGTAGAGATTTCTCTTGGTGGTTCGAATATTCTTCGTCGCTAGTTGTTATGGTGTAGAACCATAGAAAGATAACACGGATTCGGATATAAGGTTAAATAGTATATTCTCGGAAACATAGTAGAAAGGTAAATGTGGACTGGAGAACTCACTCACTCACTTAGTATATATATATATATAATTCATCGAGTCTGAGAGAAACCTCAACAGAATGCAGAAAGCACTGGACTATGTTTGGGACTCATCAGCAGTACGCACCCACTATCGAGAATTGAAACCCTGACAGTTAGGTTGTCAAGCAAACATCATACCAACTGTTCCAATGGGCCTCGGTGACAGAGAGAATGCAAATCAGACTCAATATAGCGCCATATATATATATATATATATATATATATATATATATATATATATATATATATATATATATATATATATATATATATATATATATATATATATATATATATATATATATATATATATATATATATATATATATATATATATATATATATATATATATATATATATATATATATATATATATATAAAAAACTAACTAACGAGGTGGGTAACGAATAACGGAATATTGGCTTGATATGATATATATATATATATATATATATATATAGTAAAACAGACCTGGTTCTATAACCTTGGATGGCAACTGGTCTACTACAGAAAGAAATGGCAACCAACTGTAGGAAAATATCTACCTCGTCAGTCATGTACTGAAAGATACATGATCGCCTAAGCGTGTATAACGCATGGCACATGACTGACTGAACTATCTATATCAGTGTTTCTATCTAGCTCAGTCTGTTCATATCTAGCTATATCTGTTTTTTAATACGTATCTATATCAGTCTGGTCATATCTATCTATCTATCTATCTATCTATCTATCTATGTGTATACGTGTGTGTGTTCAAATAGGTTTTATTAAATTCTACTAACAAGATCAGCCTGTTCTACTTTCATTATGGCTTTTCAATTTCCCAACATTTTGTTGCGCATTGGGATTGACGTAATGAATAAATTGTCTAAAGTTCACGATTTTTCCCTTTATTAAGGTAATTTTCATTTTCAAAGTCAATTTCGATTACTGAGGGTAATCATTTGTGTAAGGAAGATTTATGTGACTAAACTCTGTTTTTTTTTTTTTTAAATTGCAGGAATTGGGATTTGAATCAATTAAAAGAGACGTCATATCAAACGGATAAAAAGAAAAGGAATATCGATTCGTACCATTTTTTTTATACAGGGTGCGATGGATAGATTGTCGCCATTTTATACTTTTAATTTCGCGCATGCGTGTTTTTTTATTTTTTATTTTGTTGACAGCACAGTATAGTAAGGTCAGTTGTACACTGTTTGTGAGAAAAAGAGCACTATAACGCAATTCAATCCGCCAGAGATTCGGAAACGGCATGCGGTACTGCTTGGTATTCTCACCGGAAGCTCACAAACAATTTAAAGTGTTAGGGTGTCAATTTAAGGGCAACGTAAGGAATTCGGAAAGAGTTGGATGAGTCTAATGGTGATTACAAATGTACAGCAGCTAGGAAAACTCACTCTGATCGTTCTAATGAGAAACGAACTCCCCGATTTGTTGGTGGGGCCTCAAACTCAACGCAGAGACCTACATCAAATGCTCTGAGGAGGTAGTGCGGTACGAGATCAAGAGGGTGGCTGCTGGAAGATACTATGTCTGGCAACAGTTTAGCGTGAGACCAACAAAACTCCTTATAACACCAGAGATGAACTGAAGGCAAGGATTATGGCAGCATTCACCAAATTAAACAAGGAGACCGCCCAGAAGAGATGCAGAAGATTCAGAAGTCGTCTGGAGGCTGTGATTGAAGCCGTTGGTGATTTTAATGGATGATTTTAATCATTATTATTTCAAGATATTTTTGTGCAATTTTGATAAATATATCTGTTAAAATGAGATTAATTGTTAAAATGAGATTATTTGTTAAAATGAGTTGTATTTTCGCTAAAGCTTTTGGTCCTAATAAGTTTCCTGTTTATATGAAACTACCGTGTATTGGATCTCGTCGTCAATTGTTTGCCGCTAGGATCTCAGCGTCAACTAGACGTGCATTCCCTTCTGTCTGTGAAGACATGTCGCCTACCCTCCAACAAAACTTGTTTACTTATCGCTATAAGTGTTGGTGCGATGTATGGAAAAACCATTCAGCGGCTAGAAGTGAGGATTGCTCAAAATGTGTCTGGACCTATCTGTAGGTATATGCCAATAACTTCATCCGGGAATTCACGGACACACGAGTCTGCCAATGGCGAACACTTGTTAAAAACAGATACTTGTAAGAACAACTATTCAGAAGTCAATCTTTGGAATTAAAATACCGAAGGAATGGTTTCTTTGAATCAGATCTTAAAAGAAGACAGGAGGCTAGGAAAAAATGTTATTGTCATCCAGATCGAGTCACTGATTCCTCAAACAGTTCCAACTTGTGTTTGACCTCCCTCTGTTCCGCATAGAGACCGGACAAAACACCATCAGAATATCGTAGAAGCTGCTGTGATTAACACACAGAGTCCAGCTTCAGTGTAGAAAGACGGAGGGCAAAAACAAATTGGAACTGCTTGCGAAATTTTTGATTCGATCTGGATGACAGTAACAATTTTTCTCTCCGCCATCTTGTCGTCTTTTAAGATATTATTTAAAGAAACCATTTCTTCAGTATCTTAATTCCGACGATTGACTTCTGACAAAATATCCGTAGGAAGGTGCCTTAGGTTATATTTATTGCATTAGATTTTTATCGTTAAATATTAAATTATGATCCCTATTTTAAATCTATATAGCGATTTTCTAAGTCCGGCTTAGATGTGGTACAAGGCCGAAAGTATGGGGTACCCAGTGAGGATCGAACTCACTACTCAGTCGTAATTGTTCTAGCAATACAAGCTTTCTAACCATTATACCACGTCGAGGTGCCCAAATCTATATCTATATATTTAGGCAGCATAATTTCATTCAATCATGTTTGGTTAAATAATTTAGAAGTATTATGTCCATTTTAGTTTTTATTGTTTCAATCCACGAATAAATTTCTTGTTGGCTCTAGAAAATTGATTAAGAAAAATTCCAAAATTTTCTTTCAAATAATTTTTATTTTTCTAAGTACTTTAAATGTCATCTAAGACCCTCTTCAGGGGTTGCATATTTATTCTGAGTTAACACCATAAAATCAAAATATTTTTACCTCTGTTCAAGGGAGGTAACTTATGTGATTTTTTTTTTAAAGATTTAGAATTTTTTATGATTTAATTGTAGTATTTTAATTTATTATTTTATATAACACTTTGCTGCTACAAACATTTAAGAACTTTGTTGCTATAATCGTAGTTGTCTTTATTTATATTTGATCACAATTCTCTTATTTATATAAGAGAATTGCGATCAAATCACGTAAGTTATCTCACTTGCATAAAGGTTAAAAGAATTAACGCTTGACATAGATATGCAGCCCCTGAAGATGATCTCAGCTAAGATTGAAAGTATTTGGGAAAATAAAAATTATTTGAAAGAAAATTTTGGAATTTTTCTTAATCAATTTTCTACAAGGAATTAATTCGTGGACTTGAAATGATTAAAACTAAAATAAATAAACATAATACGTCTAAATTATTTAAACGAATATTCTTGAAGATATATATATATATATATATATCATTTGCAGACAGTACTGCTTCGCTGTATCACAACTCATCAGTGACATCCGAATGCCTCAAGCCCGGACCGAACCCCAACCGTGTCAGTCAGAGCTGACTTCATACGACAAAGAGAAACAGCTTCATTCGATAAAGAGAAACAGAATGTGTTCCAATTTATTTTACTAGAGAGTCTTGCATTAAGGCAATAGAACTCGCCTATCACTCAACTGAAAATTGAAATATATTTTCAAGAGCTAAATTACGTGAGACAGTAGTGCGACTAGACATCCGAATGCCTCAAGCTCGGATCGAAACCCAACCGGTTTGGTGTCAGTCGGAATTTCTACCATTGTTCGACAAAGGGAAACATCTACATCTAACGTATTGTTTTTAAGAATGTAAACAAATGCCAGTCAGCCTGGAGTGCTCCAATTCATTTTACTGAAGAGATTTGCATTAGTGCAAGTGGCTGTTGTTTATATAATTCACCTATCACGCAGCAGTGGTCAATTGAAATATATTTTCATGAGCTATATATATATATATATATATATATAAATATATAAAAAGAAAGAAAGAGGAGATAGATAGATAGATAGATAGATAGATAGATAGATAGATAGAGAGAGAGAGAGAGAGAGAGAGAGAGAGAGAGAGAGAGATTTCGCCAAAAAATTGTGTACACACACTTTAGGAGAAAAGAATAAAAAAACTTGTCTTTAGTAGTTTTATCAAATTACAATAACACTGTTTACTGTAGTACTATATTTTCTCGATAGATGGCATTACATTGACTGTCCTGAGATAAGAAAATGCATGTGCAGCAATCCCACTAGACACTCTTGTCAACGTTGTTCAAGCAGTAGTTCCACGTACTCATAAATGTCCAAAAGCTAAAGCATCCCTTGTGATTTTAGAATCAAACGATAACTTGCATTAATATCTGAATATCTGAATTGATTATAGTATTACAATATCTATACAAGATGTTTTCCTTTCCTGAAGTGAGTATACATTTTGGGCTGTTTCTGAATATATATATATATATATATATATATATATATATATATATATATATATATATATATATCTGATCTGACTCAGATCAATAAAAAAGCACTGAATTCTGCCAGAAAAGCATAGAAAAGCGACGGTTAACGAATGGCCAGTAAGTGGACTATATTTAGTCGTCCCCCCAAGAGGGCGTCATGTGGCACAAGGCCTTTTTAACGTGGGCATTTCCGAGCCATTAGGCTCGGCCAAAAAATAGCCCATTCGAACCCGCATAAACGGGTTCAGGGCCGGTTTTACCTCCCCGAAGGAGACTCCGCTCTTCGGCGTAGCCTCCTTCGGGTTCCTTTCCGTCCGTAGACAGAGAGTTGAACCGAACCGTCGCTCAGAAAGTGAACGACGGACCAGCAAGTGGACGGAAACCAAGCATTGCATGATCAATGACTCAGAACAATATAGACGAATAAGTAGGTTCACCTATCGTCCGGTTTATATACCCTCCCCGGTCTTTTGAGCAAGATTAGAGGTTTCCTGTTTAAGATTTAGTTTTCGCTTCCTTCTAGCAGCTACTTCAACTCTCTTGAAATGTTACTAACGTCTCCGCCTATACTCAGAAATGTTATGTCCATTTTATTTATTTTTCTTCACAGTGGAAATAGATAGGTTCACCTATCGTCATTTTCACATGCCCCCTCGGCCTTTTGAACTGGAGTAGAAGTTTATTCCTCGTTTCCGGTGTAGAACTGAGTTTCCGGTGTAGAACTGAGTTTCCGGTTGCTTCGAAAGTTTTCTCCTTCTCTTTCACTCCTAGAAATCCCTTAGCATTTTAATGCCACCCTAGCTTGGGGCTGAATTGATTAAATAGCATGGATCAAATCAGTGACTGATCCCAATGATCCCAGAAAGCTCATCTTTATACAAGGATGCCAGTGTAACCCGAAAAGGCAATAAATACGGATTTCTTCAACCTATATACAGCAAGGCAATTCTGAGAGGATTAATTATTGGCGGCCACAATCCTAACAACATAAGATATGCAGATGACACCATGCTGATAGCAGGCACGGAAAGGAAACTACAAAACCTACAGAATGTAACGAAGGAAAGCTAGAAGAAAGGACTAAGCATAAACTACAAGAAGATAATGCATTGTTATCAGCAAGAGGATGAGGCTAAGATGCAAATTACAGGTCAGGGATTCTAAAAGCAAGCAGGTACAGAAATTTAAATATCTGGAAAATGTTCTATCGTAAGACAGAAAGTGCGACACTGAGATCCGAAGATTTATTGGGATGACTAAAGATGCATTCCAAATGCTAAGCATTGTATTAAGTGACAGAAATGTTTCGTTGGAAACAAAGGACATGTACTGAACTATTACGTGATATCTGTCCTTCTGTATGGCAGTGAATACTGGACAATCTTTTCAAAGATGAAGAAGTGACTTGAAGCAACAGAAATGTGGTTCTACAGAAAGATACTCAGGATACAATTGTCTGAGCATCTAAGCAACAAAGAGGTTTTGGAGAGAATGGAAACAAAAAGGAAATTTATGCTTGAAGAGCAATTGAAATTTCTGGGGTACGTAATGAAGAAAGAGGGCTTGGAAAATATGATACTTACAAGATAGAGGGAACGAAGAAAGCAGGGCTTGATAGTGCATGAGCAAATGGATGGCAGAACAGGGTTTGGGGGGAAATAGCAAAAAGGCAAAACTTACTAAGAGCTACAAGGGACAGGAAGATGTGGAGGTCCATGATCATCTATGTCTTGAAGGGACACGGCATATAAAAGAAGAAGAGAATGGCATGATTCAAACGTGTATTAAAACCAGTGAGGTTCATTTGGAACAAAATCACCGAACAGGCAAAATAACAGCTCACATGAATAAATTTAATTGATTCCACGCCATGGTCATTAATGGACGCTGAGGATATTTTACTTACGGCACGTTTTATCAGGATTATTTTTATTTTTATTTTTTTTATAAATAAATATAAACGGTTCTAACACATGTTGTGCAGTAGGTATTTAGAGCTTGATTTTAATTGCGTTTCATCGATGTTTTCAAAATAGTGTAATTTAAAAAAAAATCGAGTTTTTTTCCAAGCAAGGCAGTAAAGCCATTAAGACACAAGCAGTTCTACAGAAAGATACTCAGGATACCATTGTCTGAGCATCTGAGCAACAACGAGGTTTTGGAGAGAATGGAAACAAAAAGGAAATTTATGCTTGAAACCAGGAAGAGGAGGTGGACGAATTAGAAAACAGAAAAATTACTCCTGAGCTAGAACAAAAGAAGTGTAATCAGGTGGACAGTAGATAGCGATTGGCATTGCATTTACATTTTTGAAGACCAAATTTGGCTGGAAATCATGGAATCGGAATGGAGTTCCACAAGCGAGAAGTGCGAGAAAAGAAAATCTTAGCATAGAACTTACAGTTGCATCTAGTCAATTCAACTGTAAATGGATGAGATCTTGACGTCAGTCTAGTACTGCGCTTAAATTCCAAAAGTCTAGGTCCCATAGCTCATTCAAGCAAAGAGCAAG